AAACCTAGCAATCAAAAATTAGATTGATGGCTCGATATCCCAACTCCCCTAAAATGAATCCTCTGATAACAAACTGAAAAAGAAAGTCTTGCTTACAAGTTTTCCTCTTTGCTTTTGATTCACCGTTCTCCTTATTCTCCTCATCTTGAGCAAAACAGTAGACGATTCACGATGTTATAAACAGTCAGGTTGTGATCAGAGTGTTATCCAATGGACAATTCTTGCTCGTCTTCAGCCACAGTTCAATACACTCACTGCAGAATGTGTGACCATTTTTCCAACTCACAGGGTCTTGGGATACTCCATGGCTAGAAAGAAAGTAAAAATAGAGTACATTTAGTGAATTTTGAGGCGAGGTATTCAACTCTAGTCTCGTTTTGCTCACCATATTGGACAGTGAAGGTTTTCATCACATGAATTCACAAACTTCTCGGATTAAACCCCATTTGTCAAGTAGCTAGAGGTAGATATATATCTTATTGACCTATCTTGGAGTGAATTGAAGGTTTTTAGTGGATGTATTTGGATGAAAGATGAAGGTTTTTGTGGACCTCACTGTTTTTTGAAATCCTGAATGCATTGCTCAGACTGAACTGTGGCGGGAGATCCCTTTAGCCTTTGCGTGCTCACTACTCACTAGGGAGGTGAGGGGATAATTTGTTCTTTCTTTCAAAACTTTAGAAATCTTTAAATATCAAGAGAATATGTATCTTAATAAAAACACCGAAAACCTTAGAGATTTTACTTTAATAGAAAAGTATGAAAGCATTAAAAGAATCTTAAGATAGACAGCAATAACATTTAAAAAAAAGACTAACTATGTTTAGGGTGAGCTGAGATCTTACAGTAAGCACAGTTCTGGACAGAAATGCAAACAAGCATCATTTATCGAACTGAAGAACTAGTACCTATACTAAAAGCTATGACAACCATTTCTGACGATGAAATCGCTACCTTTCAAGGCCAATAAAAAAAGCACACAGCAATGTTTAACACACGCAGCAAGGGAAAAGGCATCGAAAGTTAAGTACTAATAAATAACGATTTGTAGAATAAACTGAATTCAAAACTAGATAGGTCTAACATGCATCCCATCCCCCCAAAGAAATGCCACTGTATTTTAAGTGTCAAACAAACTAAGGCAGCACAGTCTKCCATAAAGGGAATGAATTCCTATAATTTTGGAGGGTGTTGCAGGCCATATTAGTGAAGACATCGTTCAAGGATGAACTCCAAAGTGAAAAAAAAGTGCTACAAGCAGTGATAATGGAAGTGWTAGAGACAGTACATAGTTAACWAWKTCATACACTGATGCTGTTTCAAAAGAGAGAAAATTAAAAGAAAATCACGACCAACAATAATCGATCATGCCAATATGCTAGAAATATGGTGTGGTCCTGCTGCAATACTGATTTTTCAATGTTTTTTTTCTACTTTGGTATTAAATGTCCAGACTTTGCACGAAAAATAGTAACCCCCTCAAAAGCTTGTACATGTACACATTTTTGTGACTCCCCTTTGAGTTTGCATGCAGGAAAACTAATGGACATTCCTTCCCCAATTGAACCATATCTCACACCTCTATAATTAATGACCGGATCCTTATTTGTTGTTCTTTGCATCACTTACACATGAGTCAACTGGAGARACAAGTTAACTACTATAGTAAAACAACGAGCTAACTACAAATTTGGTCCTTCTAACTACTATAGTGATGTTCATTGTTAAAAATGCGTAATGTTTCATGATTCAGGCAACCTGTGAAGTATGCCAAATACCACATTATAGAATATAAAGAAATAGACCACTGAAGAGTATTACTGTAAAATTATTCAAAGTTAAGTTGTGTTGCTTAGACGGCACACCCAAGACGGCATTTTATTGGCTGATGTATACACGTGCGCATTTTAGCATATTTGTAAACAGCTAGCTGCCCCTCCAGCGACTTCGCTACCAGAAGAACAAAGATGGAAAAAACAATGGTTTTTCTGAAGATTCTACTCAGCGCATGCATTATCAGTAAATGTAAGTATATTTCAAGTACTTATCAAGCAATTGGTCTATATTCTTTTATATATTCTYGTATGCCACTCTATATTATCATGATTGGACACGAAGTAACATCGTGTTTCAAGCGCTCCTTTACGAAAATTCGGTTRACGTTCAGACGCTGAATCTTCACGAGCATGTGTACTGATTTCCGTGGGAATATATCAAGAAGGGAAATCAAGGTTAAATGTATTTTTAATTCTTAATTCCAATCARTAGTAATACTTGTACAGTATTTTACGTCTAACGGACGGCACACTGAACTGATTACAAAATGGCGGTTTACTCAACCACATATCATCCCGTATTTCAAAAGCGTAATTTCGCATTATACAGDCAAATTAAAGTTTCGAAATCTTGAATTAGTTAAAACCAAATATAAACTGGTCAAATTTTAAGACTGTAGAACATTTGGTTGTAGAATTATGGGCGAGTTGCGATCCAAGCGCCGCCATGGCGGCCATCTCGCTTTCTTGTAAAACACGTGATAGAACCCACAGGCAGCCCAAACAAGGTTCCTGTGTATGGATGAGAATATGTGCGTATGGTTTATAAGGGAATGTATAGGAGTTATGATAAAGTTACGAACGTAAAATGTTCCACAAAATGTTCCAATTTGCCTCAAAATTTGCTGCAGTTGTTAATTTTACTTTGTTCAGTTTTATGGCGAAGTTTCAGCGCAATTTGAGGCCGCTTAGTGTTTTGTTTTGTTTTGTTTTTTTGGGTTTTTTTTAATATTTAGGTAGAGAAGAGCGGATTTTGAAAAAAAAACCACTAAAAGGCATCATCCTTACACAGGAACTTTGTTTGGGCTGCCTGTGCAGTACAAGGGTCTTCTCCCCGACGACCGCCATTTTGTTTTGGAGTCGGGCCGAGAGGGCCCTGGAAACGAGATTGGAAGCTCGAGTCGAGGGGATGATGGGTATTACCCATCAGCCCCGCGACTCGAGCTCCAGCACGGTTCGGCCCGACATCGGCACGGCTTCGGCCCCGGCCAGGTTCGTCCCGATTTCACTCTGACTTCAGCCCTGTGTCTGCATGTTTAGTACTCTAGCCACCGTCACCATTAACAACTGGGACTAATGGCGTACTGGCATGGGTCTTATTTCATGATCATCAAATAAATTTCAGCTGTATCTTAAWAAACAGTATTAAATTAAATTTTATTAAATTTTCAGAATCTTTTAATTTAGTAATATTGCAGCCCGTGCATAAAATTTGGATGGAAAGCCTTGGGCAGAAAAAAAGTTATAACGCCGCTTAAAAATTCGATCCAAAATTTGAAGCATATGAAACATCGCGCAGAAGATTCTGAAAATTTCAGAAAAATCGTACCTGAGGATGAGGAGAAAAAAGCCAAAAACTAAAAATAGCACTGTTTGATTTTCGGCCGTAATACGCTAAACATTTAAAGTGCTACTAYGACGAAAATCGCTCAAACTTGGATTCAGCTGAAACTTCCTAAAAAATACTCTTTAAAGGTCCAATAATCACTGTATGAAGTGTTTTCTCGATATTCAGGACGAAAGTATGATATTTTTACGATTATTTTTTGTGAGTCTGTGTCGTCATACACTCAACATCAAACATCGCTCCATACATTTCTTTGTAGTTTATGATCAAAATATCAGTAGTAAAGGGAGAAAGAAATACCCAAACACCCCAAAATATAAATTATAGTCACAAGTAATGTGAAATAAGCACATTAGCTACCCTTTGGGCTTCACAGGAATAAAATAAATTAAGGATTTATATACAAAGAAATATATGTAGCAATGTTTTATGTTGAGTGTATGACGTATTTGATGATGGTGTACAGTATTAGATATTAGATTGTTGCTTCGATTCAATTGACGAGAGAATTTTCTTGAATCAGTAAGTAATCCATGACAAGGCTACATATGTTTCTTTCGAGTTTTTATGATTACAACGAAAATGTGAGCTAAAAACTGTAAATCACCTGCCTGTCTCTTCGGGAACAGACGTCTTCGCTACTCGGCCGGCTTAGATCTTCCAAGAAGCAGATGATATGTAAAACTTAAGTTTTCATGGTCAGTAGTTTTTATAACAAAAAAATAAAAACCTGCTAGACTTACTTGGCGTAAATTTAATGATACGGAACGAAATTGTCTATTAGTCCCAGAAACTTCTTTCCAAACACCAACGCTTTTCTTGTTTACCGCAAGAAACTATTTGATTGACAACTGGGAGAACAAACATCGTGGGATAATTTTCTATGCTAGTGTTTGCGGATTGGTAAGTCATTCAATATCCTAACAAATTCAAAAGTTCTCCGTCCCAGTGTTGTTTTAGAAAATTTAAAAACATTATTATTCTAGTAGCTGGGTTTTTAGTATGAATAAACCAAAGTACTGCACGTAACTTATCATGAGCACCAATTCTGAAACTCTTAATAAAGGCTATAAGCATATAGATATATTATTTACCTTGGTGTATTGTCGGGTGGAACTTCATATGGCACAAGTCGATCATCAGAATATTGCCAAATAAAAATTATCCTAAAAATTGAGTCCTAGGGGCCAAGCTCAGTGAAGCAATGATGAGTATAAAAATCATGGATTACATTTATGTAAATTTTTCTAATTGATATCGAGTAATTTTTTTCTTTCTCACTGCGTTAATAGCTATTTTCATTCTATATCATTTCCATAACAGGATTTTGTTTTCTTTATTTTCTAGCCATGGATGTAAAGCGCTTTAGAATATTTTGATAACTTGAGCGCTCTATAAATTATATATTATTTATTATTGTTATTTGCGAAAATAATAATATATCAAAAGTGGTCTCACTTCATTGGTATGAAGATTAGTTCCTGTAGGGTAGTTCTGTGGAACCAATCATGCATTTCTATTTTTAGAAAGAATCATAGTAATAACAACTGTAATATTTAAACGAGCATATGTCATTTGTATATGCTCACATACGCGCAATGGAAAGTAATCTAAGGAACTAAACATACCTTCGAAGTCTTTGTTTTGAAACTCGGAAGGGGGACAAGGCAGAAAAACGACAAGGCCCGTTATTTTCACGATTTTTTTATTTAACTGAGTTAATGTTTAATACTCCAAATTTTTTAACGTTTCATTTGTGTCACTGCTGCTGGAAAGTTGTGACGAAAGTTTGTCGAATTAGAGTAAATCTACTTATTAGTATTCACGAAAATGTCAGTTTTCTGTTGAGCACAGTTCAATATCACCTCTCCCAAAGTACACGACTTTATATCTCAAATACGCATTCAATAAATTTTGGTCGCATTTGATATTTTGCTATTTGGCTCCAATAGAACGTGTTTGCAAAATATTGAGCTTAAATACGTAAAGCTGTCTTTATGGCGAAAGGCCAAAAACCTTTTGTCTGCCCTGCTGCAAGGGGCGATTCGGATAGATTGAGTGGCGGTTCATCCTCCTTGTGAGTAAATAGAAAATGCCATGGTTTCGTCATACTCGTTACACATTCTACATACATAGTATCAACATACTTACTAAGGATGTGTTTTTCATAGTATCATCTCGCAGGAAGCACTCGGTGTTATACGGCAATTATGGGTCCCTCCGTTTCAGACTTTAGATGTGTTCCGAGCAGCCAGTTATGTTTTTATCAAGAAAATATTCTCTTGGTTTTTATTTTGTTTGTTTGTTGTTGTTTGTTATTGTTGTTGTTGTTTTGTTTTGTTTTTGTTTGTTTGTTGTTGTTTTTTGTTTTTTTTGTTTGATTTGTTTTTTATTTTTTTTTTTGTTGTTGTTTGTTTTGTTTTTGTTTTATCAACATCTGATTTACTCATTTGTCTTTTACATTGATCATGTAGAGGTATAGATTTAAATCTTGTTTGTAATTCTACTTGCAGTTTATCTTTTTAGGCTTTTCCTTTGTTTGTTTTTTCCCCGACTATTCTGATGGGCTTTCATTTTCCTTTGATTTTGTCTATTTGTGCTGTGTCTTTGTATGTTGAGTATACATTTGGCCCTTTTTTTCTGCTAGATTCCAACTCACCTGCCCTAGTTATTCAAAGTTTGGATTTCTTTTATCTATTTTTGCAGGCTACGCGGTTCCAAGTTCACTTACTTATACCGAAGGCGACAACGCTACATTCAGTAAGCTCAACAAAGCAAGCGAGAGTATACGTCGTTTTGAATTCGGTGTTTGGTGGAATAGTAGCAATTGGATTCCATGCGGTGTCATAGCTATTAACGATACAGAAGTATTGTATAAGCTGTATGACAAAGATGCTATGTGCAAACCTTTCCTTTCTCGTCTGAAATTCCCAACAAAAGAAAACCTACAGCAAGGAAAATCGGCCACGGTTTTGCAAGACATATCCTTGAACGACGAAAACATGTACTACACGGCTATTTGTCTTGAAGGAAAGCACGAAAATGAGGATCCTGTAATACAAGAGCTCAAAGTATTGCCTAGTAAGTATGGCTATGCTATGCTATGCTATGCTATGCTATGCTATGCTATGCTATGCTATGCTATGCTATGCTATGCTATGCTATGCTATGCTATGCTATGCTAT